AGCTTGCAATACTGCCTTTGTGTCCTTTTACATTGTTTGCTTTCAATCTGAAGTCCATAGTTTCATCATTAAGATGATAGAAAAATAATTTTGATATCTCAAAAAGAAATATTCCAAATCTATGTCTACATTTATTTTCTTACAATTATATTAATGAATCATTATTATAATAATTATATTAAATAAACTTGTAACAGAAAATTAATTTAATTTTGAATTCTCTTTGGACAAATTAAATCTGATTATTAAATGCTCATTAGTGGGTAATTTGAACGTTATGTTGAAAGAAAAAGTTACCGTTTCTTAGCAATGAATTTACCGTTTCTTAGCCTTAAAATGGCCTTGTCTTTAATGTATTGGAAATTGGAAAAGCTTTTATGGCTTTATGGATTTGAACCTGATGGTCTATCTTCTTTTAAAATATATATATACGCTTTTGTTTCATCTTGAAAAGTAGTCAAAAAAACAAAGTAAAATTTTGCTATTATCTTGTTGGGTTATCTTTGTTAAACTTTGTTATTTCTGCTCCTAGTTATACTTGAAGAGCTTGTTGAATCCTGGGGGATACACCTAATAATATTCATCACAGTGTGGACGAAATATCCTTAAGGACAGTGTCCTTGACACGCCTCAAGCTAAATATTATTCTCCATAATACAATATTTTTACAAAAATCTTAAGGATATTTTACGTTGTTATTATGGAGAATAACGCAGCTAGTGTTGCTGTTGATGCTACTACTCCTGCTGCACCAACTGTTTCTGTTCCATCACCAATTACCTATGCCAAACCTTTTCCTGATGTTTCGAAATTTGAGGTTTTTGATGGAGATAATTTTAAGCGTTGGCAGGAACGGGTGCATTCTATTTTGAATTTGTATGGAGTTGCTTTTGCACTTACTGATCCTAAGCCAACTAAAGCAACTTCCATTCAGATGGATCAATGGGTTCATGCTAATAAAGTATGTAGACATACTATAATTTCTACTCTTTCTAACCAATTGTTCGATGTCTATGTTTCTTACAAGGAGGCAAAAGAAATCTGAGAGTCAATGGTAACAAAGTATACTGCTGAAGATGCCACTAAACAAAAGTTTGTAATTGGAAACTACTACAAGTGGGAGATGACGGAGGACAAGGACATAACTGCACAAATCAACGAATATCACAAGTTGATTGAAGATCTCAAATCTGAAGATATTTCTCTGCCCGAACAGTTTGTTGCTGGTATGCTTATAGAAAAACTTCTCAAATCTTGGAGTGACTACAAACAACAATTGAAACACAAACACAAGCAATTGTCGCTGAAGGAATTGGTCAAGCATATTATAATTGAAAATACAAACCGCAAGCAAGTTGTTGTTGACAAAGAAAAGGAGATTGCTACAAGAGCCAACCTGGTGGAGAACAATAAGCGGCAGAACAAATCAAATAACAGGTATGATAAAGGAAATGGTTATAAACCCAAAACCAACAATCAAACCTTCAAGAAAAAATGTAACTGCTTTGTGTGTGGAAAACCTGGCCATCATGCTGCTCAATGCCGGAAGAGGGTTGGGAATGACAATCTCGCTAAGGCTAAAGTAAATTTAACTGAAGCCAAAGCGGATGACATAATTGCTGCAGTTGTTTCCCAAGTGAACCTTGTGGCCAATGTGAAAGATTGGGTGTTAGATTCTGGAGCCACTAGGCACATATGTGCTAACAAAAAAGACTTTGTATCTTACACCCAAGTTGAGGAGGGAGAAGAAGTTGTCTATCTTGGTGACTCATGGACTACTCCAGTTCTTGGAAAAAGGCAAAGTTCTTCTCAAACTCACATCTGGCAAAATTTTAGCATTGAATGACGTGTTGCATGTTCCTAGTATCCGAGCCAATTTGGTCTCTGTGGGATTATTAGAAAAGTGGGGGTGAAGGTTTCTTTTGAATCTGATAAGGTCGTGTTGACCAAGAATAATAATTTTATTGGCAAGGGTTATTATAACCATGGCTTGTTTGTACTCAATGTTATCAATAAAAATGCTAGTACTTCTGTTTACTTGATTGATTCTTTTAATTTATGGCATGCTAGATTAGGACATGTTAGTTTATCTTATATTAAGAAAATGCATTTTGAAGATCTTATTTCAAATATTAATTTTTCGAATATTGATAAGTGTGAAGTTTGTGCAGAAGCTAAACAAACTAAGAAATCATGTGCTTCAGTATTTAGAGAATCTGAATTATTAAGTTTAATTCATACCGATTTAGGAGACTTGAAACAAACTATGACTAGAGGAGAGAAAAAATATTATGTGACTTTTATAGACAATTTTTTTAGATATACAAAAGTTTATTTGTTGAGAAATAAAAATGAAGCTTTTGATAAGTTTTTAATTTATAAATCTGAAGTAGAAAATCAGTTAGATAAGAAAATCAAAAGAGTTAGATCTGATAAAGGTAGTGAATTTATTTTGCTAAATGATTATTGTAAGAAATAGGCATAATTCACAAGATAACTCCGTCATATTCTCCACAATCAAATGGTGTAGCGGAAAGAAAAAATAAATCCTTTAATGGAAAGAGTAGACATATCCGATTGAGACATAATGTGATAAAGCAGCTGCTGAAAGATGAAATTATTTCCATAGATTATGTGAAGTCAGAAGTGAATTTGGCCGATCCTCTGACTAAACCTTTGGGAAGAAAATTAATATCTGAAACATCGAGGGGAATGAGACTTTTGCCAATTTGAGTTATATCAACTATGATGGTAACCCAACCTATGTGATTGGAGATCCCATAAAGTAGGTTCATATGGGTAATAACAAGTCATTAGTTGATCAAATGTGCACTATTAAATTATATCCCTTCCTACGGTGTGTGTGTATATAGTGCAAAACTGCAAGGAATGAGAGACTGAGTTATTAAACTCTTAATCTAATAATCCATAGCCTTTTATAGATGGTGTATTGTGCTGCAGAATACACTTGATGGATGGACCTATATGAGTGTGGAGTGGGGACACTCCTATTAAATTTGTGGCAAAATTTCTAGAGCACTCATGAAAACCAGGCGTGCGCATGGCCTATTAGCGCAAAACCGCGACAAACAACAAAGTGTGTGCCGGTATAATGTGACAGATAATACACTAAACTCAAAAGAATTCTTGGTTCATAGAAATTTTAAACTTCACCAATTGTTCTGTAAATTTAATCTTATTTTATCTAGGTCTAGTTCATAATCCAAGAGACACCAGATTCGACGTATTATGTTGATTTGTGAAAACCCAGTAAATTTTTAATATTATTATTATTTAATATTCTTTTTGAGATATGTGGGGGATTGATAGAAAAATAATTTTGATATCTCAAAAAGAAATATTCCAAATCTATGTCTAGATTTATTTTCTTACAATTATATTAATGAATCATTATTATAATAATTATCTTAAATAAATTTGTAACCGAAAATTAATTTAATTTTGAATTCTCTTTGGACAAATTAAATCTGATTATTAAATTCTCATTAGTGGGTAATTTGAACGTTATGTTGAAAGAAGAAGTTACCATTTCTTAGCAATGCCGTTTCTTAGTCTTAAAATGGCCTTGTCTTTAATGTATTGGAAATTGGAAAGCTTTTATGGCTTTATGGATTTGAACCTGATAGTCTATCTTTTTTTAGACTATATATATATATATATACATACGCTTTTGTTTCATCTTGAAGAGTAGTCAAAAAAACAAAGTAAAATTTTTCTATTATCTTGCTGGGTTATCTTTGTTAAACTTTGTTGTTTCTGCTCCTAGTTATACTAGAAGAGCTTGTTGAATCCTAGGGGATACGCCTAATAATATTCATCACGGTGTGAGCGAAATATCCTTAAGAACAGTATCCTTGACACGCTTCAAGCTAAATATTATTCTCCATAATACAATATTTTTACAACATAAGATACCCAAAACAACTTGCTCATCTTCACAGCTCTCTGTTGTGAATTGGAAACAGTAGAGTAGGATGTATGGAGATAGATATCAAGATACTCTTTGTTGAATTCGTTGCATGAGTGCGGAGGCCAGTTTAATTAACTTGAACATGGTAAACATGAAACAGTGAAAGAATTTGCTACAATTAAAGATCTATAGTCTACATCGGATATAAAAATTGCGAACCGTTAATAACAAAATCAGAATCTTAAAAAAACCGCACAATCGAACCGTAAATACTTTGGTTTGGTTTGGTTATTAATATTACAAAATCGAAAACCGATAAACTGAATCGTACTTTCATACTAACCGACTGGCGCCTGCCCCTACAAAGGACACTACATTCTTTATTGTTGTTTTTTATTGATTATTAATCTTACAAACAAAGAACCCGACCTACCATCCTCCTCGCCCACCCTTACACATTTTATCTCTCATATTGTTGGCCCAAATTATACTATATTTTAAAAAAAATATTTTTTGCTATCTAAAGTAACACAGAACGTAAGTAATAAAACTATTCATGATTTTCCAAGAAAATATTTTCTAGGAAAACATACTCATTCGTACCAAACAGCCCTAAAAGCATGTGATAAATTAGATAAAAGCATACAATCCCATGTTAGCCGTAGTTATATGTGATTTAGCTGTTTGGAAAACTTCCGTTTGAACTACTAAAAGACTGCCAAATTATAAGCGCGAGAAGATACTTAAACTTGTGAGCTACGTTAAAAATAAAATTGTTTAAAAGAGAAGCAAGCACGAAACACACCAACGTAGAATTTAGTCAAACGGGACAATAACAAGTTGCTTATGCCGTAATAATGAAAACTCTCACTTTATGGAACACCGATTTGGTGTGATGCGTCACTACCTCTTCTTCTTTTTTTCCTCATGTTGCCCTTCCTTATTATTAAATAATCATATTTTATTATTTATCTTACCTTTTTATATAATAATTCCATCTCGTACCTTATTTTTTCTTTATAATATTGCAAGTTTATTCTTCATCTTATTGGTGCATGACATCATAAAAAGACGATAAACAATACAATATATCCAAACATTGTATACATCAAAATGATATTGTAGATTGCTATACAATATTATACGACACATTATACATAACAATTATCCAAACAAGCTGTAACAGTGATCTGCATTGTCTTATTCTTTGCACATATTGCAGAATTATACTAATACCACTATTTTCTCAAGCCACACCCTAGTGGCCTTTCGATCCCTCTCTCTTGCTTCTTGACACTTTCTGATTGCCATCTGCAGAGCAATAATAAACATTAGGGCCTTCGAATATTGTGTAAACAAGAAGAAGAATGAATTAGAAACAGTAACCTGACTATAAAATATTACCTCATAGATTTTAGTGTCTTCTTCTGTGAAAGTTCCTACGTCTTTGACCTCTCCTCTTTGTTCTGTATGTCAGTTCATTAGTGATAGTTGCAAAAAAGTCTACGAACCATCTTGGCCTTTCAAAACAGTATATGAGATACAGGACGGTAAATCCAAATATCAAGCCACAACCATACCCAATTAAGACAGATTTCCATGTCATTTCAGTAAGAAAACTGGGCTCATCTTCTTCTTGTTCAACCAATAATTCTGGTACTGATGCACTCTTATGATGCCCACATTCATTTGACAATGGAAATCCACACAAATCACTGTTTCCAAAATAGGAATCATCTGGAAACGTATTGAACTGATTACTATGAGGAATAGGTCCAACAAGATGGTTGTGCGACAGATTTAAAACTGCAAGAAATGTTAGACTTGTCAATTCCTCTGGAATTTTCCCAGTAAGCTGGTTAAATGAAAGGTCCAAAACTTCAAGCGTGCTCATTTTCTTCATTTCAACAGGAATATGTCCAGTGAGGTTGTTGTGAGATAAATTCAGCAGCAGAAGTGAATTCAAGTTCCCAATGGACTTAAACTCAGGAAGTGGTCCACTGAGATGATTGCTCTCCAGACGTAACTCAATCAATGAAGGAAGACTAAGCATCCAAGACGGGATTGAGCCGTTGAGTGAGTTATTAGACAAAACTAGTCGATATAGATTTTGAAGCCTGTTAGCAGTTAAAGGAAGTGGACCACTGAGTGAATTGTCACTCAATCCCAAATCTTCAAGCTTTGTCAAGTTGACAAGGGAAGATGGGAACAGGCCAGTGAAGGCGTTGCCATCCAGTGCTAAGAATGTAAGCTTTTGCAAGTTGGAAAAAGCATCAGGAATTTTGCTCTCCAAATGGTTGTATGAAAGATCCAGTTGAGTGATTTGTGAAAGGTTCCTGATGGATTCGGGAATAGGTCCGACGAGGTTGCACCAATGAAGATTCATAAGTTTTAAGGCTTTGAGACTTCCAAGTGTACCAGGTAGTCCTCCAGAAATATTATTGTGAGAGAGATCTAGCTCAGTTAGCATATAGCTACTGCTCCAGTTAAACTTGGGGAAAGAAACAGTAAGATCATAATTTCCTGACAATCTGAGAGTTTCCAAATTGGGTAGAAGGAAAATGCTTTTTGGAAACTCGCCGTGCAAGCCATATCCAAGATCTAGATATCTCAAAGAAGAAGAGGATGATACATTCATGGGAATCTTGGATGAGATGTTTACTAAAGAAAGAGAAAGTACCTCTAACTTGGTTAAGTTTCGAGAGAGCATGTTGAATCCTTCCTGGCTAAACTGGAGATGGAAGAGATAAGAAAGATCAAGCGAAACCAAATTGGACAGGTGTGAGATTTCTAATGGAATCCCTCCTTCGAACATACTATAAGAAAGGTTGAGATGCATCAAACTGACCAACTGACCTATGCCCCGTGGAATATGAGATAACGAAAAGTTGTTAAGGGAAAGATCGAGCGTTTGAAGATGACGAAGCTGGAAAAGGCTACTATTGGGATGGATAGTTCCTTCAAGTTTGCTACAACTCAAGTCCAAACCAATCACATGACCAGTGAATCTATCACAGGTAACTCCATCCCACCTACAACAATCCATACTACTCCTATTCCAAGACGTCGTCTTAGGATAAGAATATGGGCAAAAGAAGTCATAATAATTTAAAAGTGGATAGTCCGCCACGGCAAGTGATTGCTTAAACTGTAGAAGTGCAATGGAATCATGTGAAGAGCAAAGTGAATGCCCAAAGGAAAAAGAAAACACTTGAACTGCCAGGGCAACATAGAGAAGAAACAAAGAAATGAGTGCCAAAATTCTCCCCATCTCTCTCTTTCTCATCTTTGTCTAATAGCAAATGCAACTTGTTAAAAGACATACTATCATTTATATAGAGTTTCAAACCAACTATAAGAATACGGAAAACCATCACAAGTCCATACTAAACAATTGTCCCAAAAGAGACCCCAGCAGTTTGGTTAAATGATATTTCAGTTCTTGTAAATGTGAATATAATTAGTAATCGAATAACACCAAATATCTTGAGACATTTCAATAAAGAATATCATACAAAAAGGGACAAATCAGCTAAATTAAAGGTTTCACTTAAGTTAAACTCCTCTCTTAATTTACTATATAGCCACAAGTCTTGTTCACCGTTCAGCTAAATGCTAATTAAAGGTTTCATCCAAGTTATCATAAAAAAGACACCATTGATTAAATCTTGTAGACCTGGCCTCAAACGTGCCCTGATAGATCAGGAATTTTCAGTAGTAAACTGCTATTCCTTCTAGTAATATCTTTTCAAGTGACTAGTTCTTATATCAATATATATAGACTTGAACCTATTTTACTTATTTATTAACAGGAAAGCAGTCATTATTAAAGACTGTGATGCAAAATGGAGTTCGATTATATATGTAGGTGTGAAGCATTATAGAGAAAACTGCTCACTTAATTTCTGCTTCAAAATAACTCTCGTTTACAAATATTCAGAAAGCTTGGAGTATCTTTAGTGTGGGATTATATGCTGTAACTCTGTTTCTTTTCACTTTTCAATTTTTCTTATGAGAATCTTGAAATCATTTTGTCTTCTTTTTTTTTTTTTAAAAAAAACATTAAGTTTGTACAGACAAAACTAACTGATTAAGAAGCAACATGTTATTCTTTTGAAAATAGTTTTCTCTCTATATATATATATAACAACAACCCAGTAGAATCCCACCAGAGGCTATTTCCGGGAGACCCTCGGATAGATCTGTAACAACAACAAAAACCACAAAAATAATATCAGCAACGTGAAAGACGGCAAAAAAGGGGAAAGCAATAACACAAATACTATGCAAAAGTGTGAAACACAACATAAACCGCTAGCAGTCCTAGACAAAACACTATCAGACTAGCCGGTACAAAGAGGAAAAACGTTCGACTACTCCTTAACCTACAACCCTAATGATTTATTTGACTATTCAAAGTTGATAACGCAGATACTTGATTGAACTTTGTATTTATTTTGTTCTTTCTAAAGAAGTATGTCATAGTCCTATGCAAGTTATATGATTTAAACGGAATAATCTTAGGCATCCCCCCCC